ATATTTGGCGCAGTCGGTAGGATGTGTAAATGTGACCAGTGATAAATCGAGATCATAGAACATCGTTGAAGTATTTTATGCTAATGCAACTGCAGCTATAATACTAACCGCGAGTGTTAATCGCTATTCACATCTGCAAAAGAACATACGTGTTAATTTCAATTTGTAGCCCAGTTTTCGAAGTGTGACTGCTACCAAAAATATACAACACACAAAAACTTAAAATAAATTTGTAGCCCACTTTTCGAAGTGTGACTGCTACCGAAATAAATAAGAAATACAAACATTACAATGGCTGAACCAGTGGTAGAAATCCAGTTATTCTCCGAGCTACACCTTAATCAGGCCAGATTAGGCAAGTTCCTAATTTTAATGGAAGCACCAGGGAATTAAGTGCATTTCATCAGACGGATCGAATACATATTAAATTTGTATCCATCAACTGATCCGCGTCAAATAGCTGTATTCTTCAGTGCAATTGAAATGCAATTATCAGGAGATGCACAGCGAGTGTCCCAGCTATCAGCAGCAACCAATTGGCCCGATCTAAGGAGTGCTCTCATCGATGAATATAAAACCCAAGCCCCATGCGAGGAATTACTAAGACGACTCTATAATACCCCCTTCAATGGAAGCATTCGTAAGTTCGTCGAGGATCTAGAATATAAAATATTTGTCATAACAAACAAATTGTCGTTAGAAAAAAATAATTTAAATACAATGAATTATAATAATGCCATGAATAATACTGTAAAAAATGTAATAATGAGAAAACTTCCTGACAGGTTATTAATGACATTAGCAAGGCACGATATAACTACAGTCAGTAAACTTAAACAAGTAGCACAGCAAGAAGGTTGTTATGATTCTGGTTCTGATAAAGTTAAATCACAACATAATTCAAATCAAAACGAACTAGATAGGAGAAATTATCAAAAAAATAATAATTTCCAAAGAAATAATTCCTTTTATAATAATAATAATCGACAAAGTTATAATCAGCAAAGTAACTATAGACAATCAAATAATTTCAATCAACAACAATTTCGACAGGAATTGCAGCAAAACTTAAATCAAGGTAGAGCTCAGAATCCTATGAATTATCAACAGCCAACATCTTCTTTACAATGTACTAATTCTAACAAACCAGTGAAAAGACAGCGTGAATATTCAAGCGATCAATCTAAAATGGAAATCAAAAAATTTTCATCAAATAGCCTCGGATCCAATAGAAGAAATAGAAATCGTTACATCAGAATAACTATTAACAATCGCCCATTTAAATGTGTAATAGATACAGGAAATTCAATCAACCTTATAAAAGAAAATTATTTTAATTTCCCACAAACATTAAAAACGTCAGAAGTGCACTAGCGCTCCGGAGTAAAAGTGTGTGAAAGAAAGGAATAGGCGGAATGGAATGGCACACTATTGCTCCGGAACGCTATGAAGATTGGACTGACTTGTTTTGGGAAAAGCGTAATAACTTCAACAATTTTCATAATTTCTTAATGAAATTGGTATTGTTTTATTCAGGATTAATAAGAAAATATTGATATGTGTTAAGAATGATACCATTTCTTGGAAGTTGCACCGAAAAAATGGCGTCAAAGTTTGAAAAACATGACAAAAATTCCAAAATGTGAGTTTCTTTTGTAAAATTTGTATCCTTTCTGTTTAAATAAATTAAAGATATATTTTTTTTTTCAAAAGCTACAACATTTAACTATTGAAAAACATAAAAAAATTGAAAATCGGCCTAAAATTACGCGTTCAGGAATTTTTAAGAGCAAAACACTTTCGAAAAACCGTTTTTTCGAAATAAATCAAGATTTGAGGGTGTGTTATTAATTTTTAAATAATTTTATTTAGTATCAATTTTTAAATAAAACTAAGTAAAAAAACATCAAAATCAATCACAAATCATTTCAATGCCATTTTTTTACACTGAGCCCAGTTCGCAGCCATCTTAGCTACCTTTGACTGACTGTGTCAATGCACATCTAGTCACTATATAGGTGCCAATTTCAATAGGAGCCCCAAAATACGGTTGAGAATACTCCTTGAGCCTTTTTTTTTTTGACTCATTTTTATTATATTTTTTTTTTATTTTATGCCCTTACCTCTTGGGGGGAAACAACAGAGTACTACGGTTTTTAAACTGGGCTCATTTTTACCCAAATCGCAGCCTTATTTTTTAGCTACCATGGGCTGAGAATTTTTATTTTTCTTCAGCCCCTTATAGGTGCCAGTTTTTAACCCTGAGTCTCTTACCACAGGGGGAAAACGTCAGGGTGCCCCGAAGGACCAAATGTTAAGAGGAGCCCTAAATAAATAGGTCTTACTCCAATGAGCTCCTTATGGAAACTGATTTTATTCGGTGAAGTTCTCTTATAAGTACGATACATGAGAATCTTAAACCTATGTGTTTAAAACTACTTATCAACGCACTGCACGTTGACATGCTATGCGACCCTTTCTCAACTGCGGATGCGCTTATGTTTGTGTTATTTATGATGCTTATGTTTGTGTTATTTATGTTAGGCTGCAGGGGATCGGTTTTAGATTATGCTGTTTGACTCATATTTCCATGGGTCCGATCCCTTGAAACTCAAACTTAGGAATTTCTATAAAAAATAGTGTTCAATGCTTGAACAGTGAGACAATAATATTTATAATTAGTGGGAAGATCTATGTTACCTGTTTGGAAAATTAAATATCAATTTTTGCTTGGATTGGATTGATATCTATGTTCTGACACACGGCGTGATATATAAGACATAATAAAGTTATTATATAAAAGATAATTTTATCAAGCTGGGTTGTCTTCCGGTGATTCTCCTAAAAATTTTCATCTAGCTTTAAGCCTAGTTCTGAGTTGACAAAAATCCGCTGTCGAACGAGTGACAGCTGTCAAACTCCATATAAAAAAAACGGTGTAAAAAAAGGAAGAAGAAGACATTTTTGCCTCCTAGATTTTGCGGGTACTGAGTTGACGAAAATTTTTGTTATCGAATTGAATGGCGTTGCCGGATCAAAAAAAAATAAACAGCTGATCTCGGGGAGTTGAAAGAATTTCATTTATTTCTATAGGTGAAACATGGAGAGACAATTGATCAAACGAAAAAATAATCGGCCCGAAAAATTTTCGGCGCGCGAGGAGAAATTAAAATTAATTTGTGCGGTCAAGGCGAAGCCCATAATATGGGATTTGACCCGCAAGAGGCATTTTAATGCCATAAAATGGCATTGAAATGATTTGTGATTGATTTTGATGTTTTTTTACTTAGTTTTATTTAAAAATTGATACTAAATAAAATTATTTAAAAATTAATAACACACCCTCAAATCTTGATTTATTTCGAAAAAACGGTTTTTCGAAAGTGTTTTGCTCTTAAAAATTCCTGAACGCGTAATTTTAGGCCGATTTTCAATTTTTTATGTTTTTCAATAGTTAAATGTTGTAGCTTTTGAAAAAAAAAATATATCTTTAATTTATTTAAACAGAAAGGATACAAATTTTACAAAAGAAACTCACATTTTGGAATTTTTGTCATGTTTTTCAAACTTTGACGCCATTTTTTCGGTGCAACTCCAAGAAATGGTATCATTCTTAACACATATCAATATTTTCTTATTAATCCTGAATAAAACAATACCAATTTCATTAAGAAATTATGAAAATTGTTGAAGTTATTACGCTTTTCCCAAAACAAGTCAGTCCAATCTTCATAGCGTTCCGGAGCAATAGTGTGCCATTCCATTCCGCCTATTCCTTTCTTTCACACACTTTTACTCCGGAGCGCTAGTGCACTTCTGACGTTTTTAATGTTTGTGGGAAATTAAAATAATTTTCTTTTATAAGGTTGATTGAATTTCCTGTATCTATTACACATTTAAATGGGCGATTGTTAATAGTTATTCTGATGTAACGATTTCTATTTCTTCTATTGGATCCGAGGCTATTTGATGAAAATTTTCGATTTCCATTTTAGATTGATCGCTTGAATATTCACGCTGTCTTTTCACTGGTTTGTTAGAATTAGTACATTGTAAAGAAGATGTTGGCTGTTAATAATTCATAGGATTCTGAGCTCTACCTTGATTTAAGTTTTGCTGCAGTTCCTGTCGAAATTGTTGTTGATTGAAATTATTTGATTGTCTATAGTTACTTAGCTGATTATAAATTTGTCGATTATTATTATTATAAAAGGAATTATTTCTTTGGAAATTATTATTTTTTTGATAATTTCTCCTATCTAGTTCGTTTTGATTTGAATTATGTTGTGATTTAACTTTATCAGAACCAGAATCATAACAACCTTCTTGCTGTGCTACTTGTTTAAGTTTACTGACTGTAGTTATATCGTGCCTTGCTAATGTCATTAATAACCTGTCAGGAAGTTTTCTCATTATTACATTTTTTACAGTATTATTCATGGCATTATTATAATTCATTGTATTTAAATTATTTTTTTCTAACGACAATTTGTTTGTTATGACAAATATTTTATATTCTAGATCCTCGACGAACTTACGAATGCTTCCATTGAAGGGGGTATTATAGAGTCGTCTTAGTAATTCCTCGCATGGGGCTTGGGTTTTATATTCATCGATGAGAGCACTCCTTAGATCGGGCCAATTGGTTGCTGCTGATAGCTGGGACACTCGCTGTGCATCTCCTGATAATTGCATTTCAATTGCACTGAAGAATACAGCTATTTGACGCGGATCAGTTGATGGATACAAATTTAATATGTATTCGATCCGTCTGATGAAATGCACTTAATTCCCTGGTGCTTCCATTAAAATTAGGAACTTGCCTAATCTGGCCTGATTAAGGTGTAGCTCGGAGAATAACTGGATTTCTACCACTGGTTCAGCCATTGTAATGTTTGTATTTCTTATTTATTTCGGTAGCAGTCACACTTCGAAAAGTGGGCTACAAATTTATTTTAAGTTTTTGTGTGTTGTATATTTTTGGAGCTTTTCGTCAAAACAAAAGTGAAGTTCAAAGTGGTCGGACGTTCGCAAAAATTCACTAAATTTAATTATTTAAAATGCATTTTAAAGTTGAAGGTATTAACTTTATTAAATTAGTTTTATTACATTTATCTGACTAATTAAATTTTATTTGTGTATTTTAGATCGAATAACCCTTTTTTGTCTATTTTGTGAACGTCTTTTTCATGTTTAGTTAAAGTTTTAGTTGTGATCCCACGAAATCCCACAAATAGTATGTATGTTAATGTGTTCGTCTAACTTTTGGGGTACTGTATGCCTAAAATCAGCTGCAGTCATTTGCAGTTGTTAATATAATCGGAAAAATACTGATGCCATCTAGCGTTTGCCAAGGGAAAGTTTTTCCTTATTGTGCTGTTGTTTTGTTCTCGTCGCTCGTGTTTGTAATGTTTTTTGAAATATTTTTAGTTAATCATTTCATTGAAATTCACTTTTTAGGAGATTCCCATAAGTGTGCATTTACACGACTATATATTTTTGATCTTTGGTGTGCAGAAGGTGGCACCAACGCTGAAAGATTAAAAAAAAAATTGTTGAATTTATGCAAGAGCAAATTGAAAACAACGGTTACATTCCCGAGCTAAGCCAACTACCAAAACGAATTGATTGCATATGCAAAAGAATTGCTACTTTTTGGGATAGATACAAACGGAAGAAAACTGCAATTATGCAATATCAATCAAGTTGGCTGAATAAAATAGAAACAATTGTGTTGACATGTGGTCGTGAGTTGTCTCAACCAACACAATAACACAGTGTTAATCTTGGACAGCCAAAAATTGATTTTTAGATTGTTCGAATAGAGCGAAACGTATTTGAATATTACTTGAAACTCGTACTTATTTCTGTTTACAATTTTTGATATAGTTTTCCGATTTGGACTATATTTGGCAAGCATATATAAAACTGGTCCAAACATACAATTTGTAAGTTTGGTTTACATATCTTGAAAAACAAAAAAAGTTTTTACATACTATATACTTATTTCTATCCTATTGTTCCTATGGCAACTATATGATATAGTCATACGATATGGTCAATTTTTTTACTATGCATTTCAAATATTTTTTTTAGAATTTTGGTGAAAATTTCGTTACAATATCTGAACTAGAAGTACTTATGGCCGCGGCTCAATACAAGCCCAACCACTGGTGGTCCTGCCGCAGACGTTGTTCTTCTACTCGGTGGTCCTGCCGCAGACGTTGGACCCGCCGAATAAAATGCCAAAGACTTTGGCTGTCGTTGTTCCCAGGAACCCGACTTTTTCTTTTTGCTCGATATTTGGCTTCGAACACGCCGTATATTATTTTCAATATTTATGAATTTCCGGTGTTGTTCCAGAAAAACATAATTTTTTTTTTTTTTACACAAGTTGTGTTTTTAACTCCTTGCGCCGTATCGCTTTGGAGATCCAATAGCTGAATTCCAGCCCAAAGATTTTCAATAAATATTCCGACTCAGGCCTCGGATAGCCCTGCGCTAAACAAAAAACGCACTTATTGCTCGATGGCAATTCTCAATCTCTGTGTCCCTTACCACTTGGGGGGAAACGACAGAGGACTACGATTTTACACTGAGCTCTTTTATTCCCAGTTCGCAGCCATCTTAGCTACCTTTGACTGACTGTGTCAATGCACATCTAGTCACTATTTAGGTGCCAATTTCAATAGGAGCCCCAAAATACGGTTGAGAATACTCCTTGAGCCTTTTTTTTTTGACTAATTTTTATTATATTTTTTTTTTATTTTATGCCCTTACCTCTTGGGGGGAAACAACAGAGTACTACGGTTTTTAAACTGGGCTCATTTTTACCCAGATCGCAGCCTTATTTTTTAGCTACCATGGGCTGAGAATTTTTATTTTTCTTCAGCCCCTTATAGGTGCCAGTTTTTTATCCCTGAGTCTCTTACCACAGGGGGGAAAACGTCAGGGTGCCCCGAAGGACCAAATGTTAAGAGGAGCCCTAAATAAATAGGTCTTACTCCAATGAGCTCCTTATGGAAACTGATTTTATTCGGTGAAGTTCTCTTATAAGTACGATACATGAGAATCTTAAACCTATGTGTTTAAAACTACTTATCAACGCACTGCACGTTGACATGCTATGCGACCCTTTCTCAACTGCGGATGCGCTTATGTTTGTGTTATTTATGATGCTTATGTTTGTGTTATTTATGTTAGGCTGCAGGGGATCGGTTTTAGATTATGCTGTTTGACTCATATTTCCATGGGTCCGATCCCTTGAAACTCAAACTTAGGAATTTCTATAAAAAATAGTGTTCAATGCTTGAACAGTGAGACAATAATATTTATAATTAGTGGGAAGATCTATGTTACCTGTTTGGAAAATTAAATATCCATTTTTTGCTTGGATTGGATTGATATCTATGTTCTGACACACGGCGTGATATATAAGACATAATAAAGTTATTATATAAAAGATAATTTTATCAAGCTGGGTTGTCTTCCGGTGATTCTCCTAAAAAATTTTCATCTAGCTTTAAGCCTAGTTCTGAGTTGACAAAAATCCGCTGTCGAACGAGTGACAGCTGTCAAACTCCATATAAAAAAAACGGTGTAAAAAAAGGAAGAAGAAGACATTTTTGCCTCCTAGATTTTGCGGGTACTGAGTTGACGAAAATTTTTGTTATCGAATTGAATGGCGTTGCCGGATCAAAAAAAAATAAACAGCTGATCTCGGGGAGTTGAAAGAATTTCATTTATTTCTATAGGTGAAACATGGAGAGACAATTGATCAAACGAAAAAATAGTCGGCCCGAAAAATTTTCGGCGCGCGAGGAGAAATTAAAATTAATTTGTGCGGTCAAGGCGAAGCCCATAATATGGGATTTGACCCGCAAGAGGCATTTTAATGCCATAAAATGGCATTGAAATGATTTGTGATTGATTTTGATGTTTTTTTACTTAGTTTTATTTAAAAATTTATACTAAATAAAATTATTTAAAAATTAATAACACACCCTCAAATCTTGATTTATTTCGAAAAAACGGTTTTTCGAAAGTGTTTTGCTCTTAAAAATTCCTGAACGCGTAATTTTAGGCCGATTTTCAATTTTTTTATGTTTTTCAATAGTTAAATGTTGTAGCTTTTGAAAAAAAAAATATATCTTTAATTTATTTAAACAGAAAGGATACAAATTTTACAAAAGAAACTCACATTTTGGAATTTTTGTCATGTTTTTCAAACTTTGACGCCATTTTTTCGGTGCAACTCCAAGAAATGGTATCATTCTTAACACATATCAATATTTTCTTATTAATCCTGAATAAAACAATACCAATTTCATTAAGAAATTATGAAAATTGTTGAAGTTATTACGCTTTTCCCAAAACAAGTCAGTCCAATCTTCATAGCGTTCCGGAGCAATAGTGTGCCATTCCATTCCGCCTATTCCTTTCTTTCACACACTTTTACTCCGGAGCGCTAGTGCACTTCTGACGTTTTTAATGTTTGTGGGAAATTAAAATAATTTTCTTTTATAAGGTTGATTGAATTTCCTGTATCTATTACACATTTAAATGGGCGATTGTTAATAGTTATTCTGATGTAACGATTTCTATTTCTTCTATTGGATCCGAGGCTATTTGATGAAAATTTTCGATTTCCATTTTAGATTGATCGCTTGAATATTCACGCTGTCTTTTCACTGGTTTGTTAGAATTAGTACATTGTAAAGAAGATGTTGGCTGTTGATAATTCATAGGATTCTGAGCTCTACCTTGATTTAAGTTTTGCTGCAATTCCTGTCGAAATTGTTGTTGATTGAAATTATTTGATTGTCTATAGTTACTTTGCTGATTATAACTTTGTCGATTATTATTATTATAAAAGGAATTATTTCTTTGGAAATTATTATTTTTTTGATAATTTCTCCTATCTAGTTCGTTTTGATTTGAATTATGTTGTGATTTAACTTTATCAGAACCAGAATCATAACAACCTTCTTGCTGTGCTACTTGTTTAAGTTTACTGACTGTAGTTATATCGTGCCTTGCTAATGTCATTAATAACCTGTCAGGAAGTTTTCTCATTATTACATTTTTACAGTATTATTCATGGCATTATTATAATTCATTGTATTTAAATTATTTTTTCTAACGACAATTTGTTTGTTATGACAAATATTTTATATTCTAGATCCTCGACGAACTTACGAATGCTTCCATTGAAGGGGGGTATTATAGAGTCGTCTTAGTAATTCCTCGCATGGGGCTTGGGTTTTATATTCATCGATGAGAGCACTCCTTAGATCGGGCCAATTGGTTGCTGCTGATAGCTGGGACACTCGCTGTGCATCTCCTGATAATTGCATTTCAATTGCACTGAAGAATACAGCTATTTGACGCGGATCAGTTGATGGATACAAATTTAATATGTATTCGATCCGTCTGATGAAATGCACTTAATTCCCTGGTGCTTCCATTAAAATTAGGAACTTGCCTAATCTGGCCTGATTAAGGTGTAGCTCGGAGAATAACTGGATTTCTACCACTGGTTCAGCCATTGTAATGTTTGTATTTCTTATTTATTTCGGTAGCAGTCACACTTCGAAAAGTGGGCTACAAATTTATTTTAAGTTTTTGTGTGTTGTATATTTTTGGTAGCAGTCACACTTCGAAAACTGGGCTACAAATTGAAATTAACACGTATGTTCTTTTGCGGATGTGAATAGCGATTAACACTGGCGGTTAGTATTATAGCTGCAGTTGCATTAGCATAAAATACTTCAACGATGTTCTATGATCTCGATTTATCACTGGTCACTTTTACACATCCTACCGACTGCGCCAAATATATATTTTCTCCAAAATAGTTTGAAAAAATATACTTTTATTTGCGTTCCGGTTTTGATACAGTGTGATTCTTTCAAATTGCTTTGAATTTCAGAACAACTGCTTAGGATGTTAGAATTTTAGAACTAACTTATCTTTAGAGCTCTAGGTCCTTTTTATACCCTTGCAGAGGGTATTATAATTTTGTCCAAAAGTGTGCAACGCAGTGAAGGAGACATCTCCGACCCTATAAAGTATATATATTCTTGATCAGGATCACCTCCTGAGTTGATATAAGCATGTCCGTCTGTCTGTCTGTTTCTATCGTCTTGAAACTTTGCACACACCCTTCTTTCCTTTGCACGCAGTATATAAGTCGGAACGGCCCGGATCGTGTTTTTGGTGTTTTTAGAGTTAGAGGGTTCAAATTTGACTATTATTTGACGGGAGCTATTTTTGGCAAAACATTACGACATGCCAAATTTCATAAGGATCGGCCGACTATATCTTATAGCTGCCATATAACTGAACGATCGAAATGACCCAACTATCGTGTTTTTGAAGATAGAAAGCTGAAACTTAATACAGATTTTATTTTTGGCCAGTTGATACATCCTACCGAATTTCATTAGGATCGGCCGACTATATCCTATAGCTGCCATATAACTGAACGATCGGAAATGGTATTTGGTAGAAATATCAACTTTTGTGTTTTTTGAAGATAGAAGCTTGGGACATTTTTTTAGATTTTTATTTTAGTTAATTGGTTTTATTATGATGTAATCATAAGGATCGGCCAACTATATCCGATGTCTGCGATATATATCCGGTTTTAACTGCAAGGGTATATCAACTTCGGCTCCGCCCGAAGTTAGCTTTCCTTTCTT